CACATTTTGCCTACTCTCAACCAAAGAAAGTGCTATGTTCCAAGTAAACTCATTAGCCATCTAATTTCATACAATATTAGAGCTGGGAGAGATTCTAGCAAGTATCTTGCCCAACACCCTCATCTTACACGTGGGAAAACCAAAGATCAGTAAGGTTAAATGCTTTGACAAAAGTACACAGATAATTAATGACAGGACTAAGGTCAAATCTAATGTTGAACAATAACCTTTGAAGAATCCGTTCTGATTAATTTTCTATACTGTTGAATGAAATGACACACCACATAAGTTTGATTTGTGGATTAGTCTATTGTTTTGAAACCACTGAGCACTTTTAATGTTTTCAAATTGCCATCTTTTCTATATCATTGTTTAACTGCAAAATTGACTACTTTATTGGTTGAGGAAAGCTGACTCTCCTCTGTATGCCAGCAGAATTGAGACTTTTTACATTCTGTCCCAGTGAAACGGTATCCAAATAGACAAAGAAACATAAATAATGACAGAAGGAGGGCAAGATCTTCAACACAAGATCTGGGATACTGCCGCCTTGGCTTCCTGATATATACCTCTTCCTCTATCTCTTGCTCAAAGGGCTCCTCTGATACTGTTAAACACTATGCAGACTGCTGACCACGTATAAATATAAATTTATTTTCTCATTTTATTTCTTTCCCCAGCTCAAGCAATAGGTCATTAAAAACATTGCAATATAAAAGTAGTGACTCAAAACCCTTTGGGCGTTTGCAGTTATATGTGTATTTATGTGATAATTCGATTGTTTGCTGATCCCACCAGGTGGTAACCTCCTTGAAGGCAGGGGATGCAGCTTTTCAGTATTATGTCCACAGCTCCTAACACGAAAGCCTGGAAAACTCAGATTCTTGATAAATACCATTGAATGGATGTATTATGTTTTTCAGGTGTGATGCCCAGATCAGCAGTATTAGGACTGCCGAGACAACATTAGCAATACAAATTCTTAGACCCCATTCCAATAGGACCCCACTCCTATTGAATCTAAAATTCTGGGGTTGGTGCCCAGCAATCTGCATTTTAACATCTCCCCAGATGATTCTGATATATGCTAACATTTGAGTACCACTATTATCAATAAATTAATGCCACTTATCTAGACAGGTTTCTGCTTGCTGGCCAGGTATATGTTCCCAAAGCTCTGTCGACTCCCCTGGAAACAGGTTGATCACTAACTATGGGTAGCTACACAGACCTGGCAGGAAAATAATGTTTAAAGATGCCAAATTGCTGGATATTGAGACTCAGCTTATATGTGTTATATCCTATTCAATTATTTCCTTTTCCATAAAATCTAATAAAACAATTTAGTTGAGATTTATTTCTCACAACCAAGCAGTCCACACTGCTCAAGAGAGAGTGATAACCTAGACATCAGGGCTGATACTCAAATCCCTGGAGTCCCAAACACACAGGTTTTACCTTCTCAGGAATGGTTGCTATAGATATAACCAAGGAATAGACCTGGACTTTAACTTCCTGAGAGTCAGAACTAGATCATTCAGAAAGGCAAGCCTGGTTCTCCTTAAGTCCTTGGGCCACCATGGTAAATATTCATTCACATCAGAGCTGGAACCTAACTTCTTTTGAACTGAAAAAGTCAAGTTCGGTAGGAAGACATAATCATTGGCCTTGATCCTTTTCCAAGGCTCATAAACACTAACCAGGAAGCCCATTAGCATAGGAATCATCTTGCCTTTTCAACCAGACAATGCATCCCCATGTACCTGACCACTTGCCATTTACCTGTGCTTTTCTCCTGGCTATTCAGCAACTGATTGTAATGTTTGGGTGAATTGTTGAAAGATTTGTTCTATGTCTGGGTTTGTCTGTTTCTTCCCACAACACTGAAATTTTCAAAATACTTTTGCTTGAGATAGAAAGGTTTGCATCCTTCTAGGAGAGTTTAAAAATATATTAATAAATGTGTATATTAAAATTAACAAGTCAAATCAAAAACTTTAAAAGAAAATTCACAATGAACATGTACCAAATTGTTTCAATTGTATTTACTGGAGAGGGTACTGGCTAAGAAAATAGATTCTACTATTTCTGTGTGGGCTTAAACCTTTTTGTAATCATCTCTGCTGGTCCTCTCTCTTCTGGTAGAAACCATCAAGAAGAGAAAATAAGTCATGTTTCTTTTGCTTCCATGTTTTAAACCTTTTGTGTTTTATATATAACCTGAAAGCCTCTACAAAATGATAACATTTGTTTAGTTAATGATCATTTTCAAAAATTCCACTAGGAATATTCCTAAAATTATTCACATGGAGGCAAAGTGATATTAAATTCCTAGTTTTCTTAAAATTGTTTTTTAATGGTTTTACAAGTTCTCTTTCATATTTTGAATTAGGTCAGCATAAAGTCATAGATATTTGGTAATACAGGAGCAAATATACACACATGGGCAGCAATTACATCACTTAAGAAAGCAAACACTCATGAACTCCTCCCAAACTATGTTAAGAAAAAACGTGCTCCGTTTGCATTATTGTGAAATTTTGGATCAGACATTTGTGCTTGGTCTTCATTACGAGGAAATTTGCTGATCTGGGCTTTCAAGTGCGTTATTTGTTAATTGTGTGATTGTTTGCCAAAGAGACTCTTAGTTAGTTTACTAGTCTAGGGCTAGACTCACTCATTCTTGTCAATCCCACAGTGCTTCTGACATTTCACCTGGGTCTGCTAGTATATCAATAACGTGTTGTATAAATTAACTATTATGGTTTCAAACAATACACAACTAAAATAATGTGATGTATGAAGAACTGAAAAAAAAAGACTGATCACAAAGGGATGATAAATTTTAAGACCAACGTTCTTAAAATTACATTACATCCCATTTATTTCTGCATTTTGCTTCTTTCATAAACAGCATTTCTTCAGGTAATAGATTTAACGTATGCCACAATCTAACAATGCACTCGAAGTAATCAGCCACTACTAATTTGGAGTGGTTGGGGTAAGGCACCAGAAAATAATAAAGACCTAAAAGTAAAAAAAAAAAATGTAAACAGAAATGTCTCAGCTGGCAAAAACACAGAAAGATTGCCAAGCTGGAAAAAGTCTATAGTAGATGGATGTTCGCATCATTAAATGTCCATTAAGACCAGTCCACCAAAAAGAAGTCCCCTTACTGGTTTATGTACTCTACATGGGATTGTGTAGACAATGGAGTGGTTTGGCCTCCAAAATGCATTATCAAAACCATGAAAACCTTAAAGATAACTCTAAAATTTACCAAAAAGTATGAAAGTCTTCTGCCATATAACATGGACGCTACCAGCAAAAGATGAATAATAGACTTTTATTTAGGAGAGAATCAGGGAAATAAATCAAGTGCAAATTCCTTCACTTTGGAGATTCTAGGTAAAGGATACATTTAGTCGAAAGAAGAACTTTAAATATTAAAAACATTTGATAATGCTGTTATAAACATATAATGAATCTTTTGAAACTAAATCTGTACACACTACTCTGGTGTAGTCATTCACGATCACAACTGTTGAATAACTCGCAGACGTTATCTATGTTTTGATGTAAAGAAAATAACCATTTAGTTCATATTATTCATCTTCAAAAGAGAAAATCAATAAATAATTTATCCTTTGAAATGAATAAACTGAATGAATGACTGCAGCTTCGAAAGTCCATAATTTTTACTACTTTTCAGAAAAAAAGGATCAGATTGATGTGACTCACGCTATCGAATATAGGCAAGTACACTTGACTCTAAGTGTCATTCTGAACGCTTTGGATTTCTATTTCAAATGAAATATTTTACAGGTTCACTTTAAACTAAATGGCTTTGAATAGGAATTTTCTTAACTACATTTTGGGCTGCCAAAAATAAATTAACTCAAAAGTAGGCACAAAATATTGCTGCTTTTTTTTAAATCAAAGTATAGTGAATTTAATAGGGTCTCAATATATCAGTTTCTTCATGACATAACTATACTCAAAATATTATCCATTTAATTTCTTCCCAAACTGGTAAAAACTACATTGGATTCCCTTCACTGATCTACAAATGACAACAGAACCAAATAGCAACATGATAAATTGTCAAACTGTCTTGAGGGACCATATTTGTCTTGCGAAATTTCATAATTCTAGAATAAGTTGGGAACATAATAATATAGACACAGGAAAAAATATTTTTGATCAATATATGTTATAGTAATATGAGAAAATATATGGGGAATATTTTTCTTTTTTAAAATGTTTTGGACTCAAATATAGAATGTTACGGGATTTTAGGTAATAATAAACATTTATAGCAACCAAATCAAACAGCTACTGGCTGTTATACATTTTTCAAATTTGAAAATGGGAGCCTTTTAAAACTGTGATCATTTTTACCCTCAACCTTCGAAAGTCTAAATAGATTTTTCTAAATGAAAAATTAAACTCATTAGGAATTTACAGAAATGAGTCTAAAGAATTATTGATAAAAGTATTCAGACCTCTATAATAAAAATATAAAAACATCAGCCACTTCATAAGAAGGAGTGACTATTCTTGGTAAGAGAAGAGTTATTTTTTAAATCTATTGATTTCCATGAGATAAAACTGGCATATATCTGAGTTCAGAGAATAATTTACAACAAGGAATAACAATTATTTAGTACTTAACATTTTGTGGAGTTTCTCAGGCAATTAACTCCATAAATGATACCTATTTAGAAACAAGAATCCTAGCATGTGTACTAAAAAATGCTGCAATGGGACACACACATCAGGCAGCTGCTTAGTCCATTAACACTGACTGAGTACCTACTGTGTGCCTAACCCAGAGTCAGATCAAAAGTTCTGTGCTACTAGTGCTTATGATGGATGGTTCATCAATCATGGTGTTTGTGCTACAGAGTTAACGTTTTTCTACGACTACTCAAATGAATCCTGGCCTCTTAACATGATTTATTTAAGTAAGTAAAAGAGTGTGGCCAATTCAGGATTACCTCACATTTATTTAGCAACCCGGTTTCTTGCAGCCGTGACCAGATGCTCTGTATTCGTCCAGCATGCTCAGGGTGGGTGGTGGAATTGCCACAAATGCACTGGTGTTTCAGCATCAGAGGGTCATAGGCAATTCCTTCAGGACAAAGAAAATAGCACAAGACTGAGAAATGATACAAGTTAGATGACAATATGATTACTCAAAAAAAATTCTTTTCTAAATAAATTTACAAATAGAGAAAGAATACATATCCACAAACTCCCAGGGGCATATAAGAGCTATTTTAGTACTGTATATCTGGATATATATGCAAAAAGAGTCAATCCATGGATTAATCAGTACTCAGACCCTTTCTTAGTAAATCTGTAAAGTGTATGAAGACGGTAATCTTAAGAAACTTTATATTTTAAAAAACCTGTAATTTTAGTATCTTAAATCGTGATAAAGTATTTTTAGACAGATAATTCAATTCAGTAGAGGTTAAATTTTATCACTGAAGCCACAAAATGAGGTGACTTTTTAAATTGTGAATTTATTTCGTAAGTAATTCTAGCCTCACTGTAGATCAGGATTACATCTTTGTAATAAACTGGAAGATTTTCTGTTTGCCTGTTCTGCTTAGCAATATCTTCAAAGTTGTGCAGAAAGAGTTTTGTCTTTGCTTACTGTGCTCTTCTCATAATTTATACCAAATTGCAAGCAATATGGATACTGCAGATCTTATAATATTGTGGGGCATTTGAAGTGTTTCTTTAAAAAAGTCAATTGCAATACCTTTAGTAAAAATTATAGAGATACTTAACTCTGCTTTTAAATTATGAGTTAACATATTTCATATTTGTTAGACCCTATGATGGGAAAGATTTTATGAAAATTTGATAAAATGAACTACTAAGAATACATAAAATAGAATTTACAGATCTATGAAAGCAAATTACATAATAATTAAAACTCTCTTTAATTTTGAAAAGATTTCCACTCTTAATGCAATTCCTTGGTAGTGGGGAAACATGTTATTGACAAAATTGCCTGACTTAAGAAATTATTTAGCCAAAATTCTAATAAATTACCATCAAAATATATTCTCTGGGGACATGGAATGAGGACAGAAGAATCCATGGTAAGAAATTAAAAAGCAAAAATAAGTATCTATTCAAGAACAGATAAGTACCGGCTATTTTTCTTCTAAAATAAGTTCAATTAATTAATGCATTTTATTCTCCCTATGACATAGAGTACCACGTTAGAAGAATGTTACTCAAGAGGGGGAAATATTTGCCCCTGAGTTTACTAAAATCACACTGAAGAATGACATATATATATATTGAAACCATGTAGTAAAAATTGTGTCTAAAATTATCATTTTGCTAGTCTAAATACAGGGGTCCCCAACACCCAGGCCGTGGATCGGTAGCAGTCCATGGCCTCTTAGGAACTGGGCTGCACAGTAGGAAGTGAGTGATTGGCAAGCAAGTGAAGTTTCATCTATATCTGCAGCCGCTCCCCAGAGCTAGCATCCCCACCTCAGCTCTGCCTCAGATCATCAGGCATTAGATTCTCATAGGAGCGCTGGTCCTTACTGCCAAAAAGGTTGGGGACCACAGCAAATAATACCCATTCTTTAGACTCAAATGGCTTCAAAATCCATTCTGAGAACCCCTGACTCTCACACTTTCATCCTCAGTGCTAAGCTCTCTTCTGAGCAGTACATATATGCACACTTGTCTATTCAATTGCCCATTCAAAATCTCCAATTGGATGTCTCATCGCTTTCATAAAGTGAAATGTCTCAGATTTGACTTCAGGATCTTAAACTGCACACAGTGCTCCTCATTTCAGTAAAGAACATCATGGTCCACTACTGCTCACATGAGAAATTTCAGTGTCCTCTTGACACTCCCTGTCCAATGAACCAACAAGCAGTGTCTATTTTTCCCTCCAAAACATATCTTGAATTACTTCTGATCTCCAGAGCCAAAACCATACACAATCCAAGGTACAATTATCTTCACTCTGGACTCCTGAGATAGCCTTTTAACTGGTTACCTGACTTTCGCTCTATTCCATTTGCCACAGGACAGTAGCTACTTTTGCTTAAATCTTTTGATGACTTCACTGATGAGATTAAGTTTTCTCAAACTCAGCATATATAGGCCCCTCCACTTCTCTCCAGCTTCATTTCATACACCTCTCTCTTGATCTCCATTTTTCTCACAAAAGCCTACCTTCCATTCCACTAAAGCATCAAAATCATACTGGCCTTGGGATCTTCACGCATGCTGTTCCATCTATGCTAAAGTTTCTTCCTTCCAGTCTTCATTTGGCTAATTCCTAGTCATGCTTCAAGGTTGTTTTAATGTCACTTCCTCAACAAAGGATTCCTTGAGATCTCTACATTAGGTGTCCTGCTACATGATCTCATCGCATCTCCTACATGATCTTCAGAGCATTTATCACGAATATGCAATTGTTGTATAATCTTGTTAACTGTATATTTCTTCACTATCTGGTAAGATCTATGAAAGCACAGACTTGAGTTGCACTGCTTACTTCTGAACTCTTAGTGTCTGTCATACTTGGAATATAGCAGGTCTTCAAAAGTATTTTTAATAAATAAATGGAAAACATAAATGAATAGCTGCAAGAACTAGATCAGGTATCTCTCTTATCAAGCCTTCCTTGATGAACCTAACTGGTATATCCTTGGACTCCTCAAGTTTTTGTAGCCTTACTTCTTTAGTATACTACCTTTTATTTTCTATGTCTTATCCACCTATTGGCAAGTACCTCTAATACAAGCATTCATTTTACTCAGTTGTTTACTTCTACATGGCATTTTGCACAAAAAGGAGATGAATAACTATTTTAAAACAAATCAAAATGAAGACATGAAGGCAGGCAGAAAGGAAAGCTGGTAGGCATAAAAAGTAACATTTAAAATACAAAGATGTGTACGACATGTCTTCGCAATTCAGATATAGCAAGAATTTGAGTTACTATTACATAACAGAAACTGTTTAACATATTTTCAACCAATTTCATAAAAATAAAAGATATATTAATGATAATACAGAAACTAAAAGTATAGTATGTTCTTTATTTTGAAAACATATACTTCAATAATAGAGATTCTACTCAAGTTGCTTTAATTTTTTCACTGTTTCATCTAACTTCACCTCCATAGTAATTATTTTTCTTTTAACAACATTTTTTTTTTATAAACTACTGCCAAAAAAAATTATGAAACAAGTTATGGTAGCTGGAAGTTATTGCCAAGTATCTGGAGATTATAATACAAAGTCCAGGAGCTCCAGGAAAGACATTTGAATTTAAGGGGAAATAAATAAAGTCTGGAACCCTAAACCCCTACTTACTCATCTTAATGATGTAGCAATGAGGTGTTAACAGGTAGACTGCAAGGTGAGACTTTAACCTCATCTTTCATCTCCATTCCTTTCCTCTTTCTTTTTTTCTTTTTCTTTCCTTTTTTTCCCCCAGAAACAAAGACTTACAAGGTACAAAACAATCCTGCTCTTCTCTTTGGGATTCATATGGAATTCTACTTTTCTTTGACCCTTTCTGCCCCACTGGTTACTACTTGCAACATAAACCAACAAGTCAATCTCTCTTTTGATCAATGGGATACGAGTTAAAATTAGGATTTGAAAAAATACACGAGAGTCTTAATATAAAGTCTTTACCTGCATTTTAAATCCTGGTAGTTTATTTTTTACCGAAGAAAAAAACCCTCAAAAATTTTTGCTACATTTTTTTAGACTAGCCTAGACCTTGTGCTTTCTCTGGCTTTCAGTTTCATTAAATGAGATAAATATAAGAAACATCTAAATTATTTTTAATGGCTGTTTTTGTTTGAGCACTATGATTCTACTTTGCATTAGACTCTGACTAAAGAGACAATGTTATAAAGAATTTACTCACAGATTACATAAGGTAACCCAGTGATGGGAGAAAGAAGGTCTTAAAATGTACTGAGTGATAGGGAAGATAAAGCCAGTTAAATGTATTTGCCATTAAATTCTTGTTTCAATGAATCCCATTTGGTATAAACAAACCCAATTATATCATCTATTGTCAATGTCCGGTTGTAAGGTCATAGCCAAGCCTCATCTCTGTTAGTAATAACTGAGTAGAAGAGATGACTGAGCTAAAATACACTTTCCTTCTCTTAGTTATCAGAATACATATACATACCATGCCTTGGCTTTAAATATAATGAAAAAAGCAGTTCTTAAATGGAATATTATTACTCAAATTCTAATATAACATAAAATCCATATGAATATGTGGCAACCTGACTCTACAACGTGTATTCTTCATTGTCACTAAAGTAGCTTCATGATCATATGCTCTTCTTGCCCATCCTAGAAATAGCTTCATCCAGGCTCTCTGTAGGGCTGCCAGGTGGTAGCTACATCTCAGTCTCTGTTTCTCGGTCCAATAAAGTCTTCACAGGAAATGGACCGAAGACTTCCTCTTTCAACAGCTAACTGAACTCAGACAACATCTTCTTCTTGGAACATTGCTTTGTTCTTCACAAAAATGGGGCAGTGTGGCTACTCCAGGTGGATGCTGAGAATCCACATGGAGGGTGAAGGTTTGAATGGTGTGCCCTGAAAATTATGTGTTTAAAATTAAATAACTTTTCAGTTGTGCCAAAAAGTATAGCTCTTACAGAATGGATTTAAGCAGATTGCCTACCTTTACCACATATTTGTTTTCTCTTCCTTATTTTTAATGGAACTATTAAGTGTGTCAGATTGTATGACTTTCTTTTGGGAAAAACTTACATATTTCCAAAGAACATACTTGAATGCCACTTGTGATTTTTTAAATGTATCTACAACAAGTTGACATTAAAGAGTTTAAGAGAAAGGCGTTTAATGCTTAAAAATATTTGTTTTCAAATATACTACAAATGAAACCCTTAAGAGTTCACCTACCTCTAAAATCAAAATCATTAGAAATACTAAAATGAATTTTGAGGTCATAGGGATTATGAGTATGTAGGTTACAGGGGAAATTTAAGCTTGGAGTTAAGCCAGAACAATATGTGGAGGAGTAGAGTGAAAACCGTGCATTTCATTTCCTTTGGATTTGGAAAAGCACTAAATGAAAGTTACCAAGCAAATATATGTTCTTAATCCCATAACAGCAGAGGGGCTTTTAGCTGATATATAAATTACATACTTTGCATATTTTTTTTAAAAAGTTATTAAGCCTTTTTAAGGATTCAAATGTTAGGATGCAACATTTTTAAGGTCAAATAAGACAATAAGCAGGTTTTTTCTATTAAAGTACATAAACTTGAAATCATTTATTCTTTAACCAGAAGAATTAAAAAGTACCTTTTACTTCCAGTGTTTTTAGATTTGAACTAGTAAGTTCATAAGTGTTTGTGACTATATGTACATGTATTACATATATACTACACAATATTATTATTTATTGGTTCAGCTAAAACATATTAAACACCTATTAAGAATAAAACTCAGTGCTTTTAAAATATAAATTTATATAATCTCTCATATAGACAAGAAACGTGCCTCATTGAATCCATGAAATATGAAAAAAAATCTCAAGTTCATTTCCCTGTTTATGTTTGAAGTGTAAACTCTGATAAATACTGGGATGCTGACATTACGAGAAGGAAACTAATCATCTGAAATGACCAGTCTTTAGGTTAAATGATCAGGGTATGTTTATGGCATGTTTATAATACCCTTTCACTTGGATTCTTCTAAGGCCTCTAAACCCTATCCATTAGGCAACACTGTTTCTCGAACTTGTAGGATCACTCTAATATTCAGAGATCTGGCTTCATTTATACTGAAAGAACATATAAAAGTAGAGGAAATCAAGGCATGTCAGGAAAAGGCCGCTCCCCTTAACTAAGAAAATAAACTCTATCAGTAGGGTTATAGTTGCAGACAGCAGCACACATGAGAATAGGACCACAAAACTTTATAGTTAAGCTCACTTTTAAGTTAAGGAAATGATTTTGAGTGAAAAATTGGCATTATGATAGGATAGTTGTGACTCTGTGCTCTCTGACAGGTTATGGCTGAATAAAAACCACTTTCAGGAAAAATAATTGAAAAATATATAATTCTTAAAGGCTATGCTCTGACTACCTACAAAAAGCATTTCTCTACATCATGTATCTGGCTTTGAGCAAAAGATTCTCTGAAGCCCAGGGATAGAACCAGGCATGGCTGATCCAAGCGGCTTCTGCTGACACTGGGCTGCAGTCCTGCATCGTCTGGGATACTAGGGCAAGTTTGCTTTGCTCCAAGAAATAGAGGGATCAGAGGCAGTGGCTAATGTGGTAAAATAAATCTATCCAAATATACCCAGCCTGTAGCTCCTAGTATGGAATGTTGGCTTGTGGTATAACACATATAAGAAAGAAGTCGCTCCTATGCAGACTTTTTAAAGACGACTGTCAAAGTTAAATAACTCAACCATTTCATTCATTGATTTTTTTAAAAAAATAAAAGATGATATCAAGGCTTGGGAATGTGATTTCAGAAATAATATTTTAACTTTTCCAAGCACAAAGGGTTGCATGAGGTCATGGAAGCCACAAAAACAAACTGAATCCTGAAAAATGATTCAAAAATAAATCAGATAACCTATGAGAGCCTTTGGGGGGAAGGTACTTATGAATTCTCCTCTTGCTTCATCCAAGTTATGAGTCCCTTAGGGCTGCAATATCTCACAGTTTGAGAGCATGGAACAAGAACAGGGTCCAACAGATAGAAACAAATATTTACAACGCAGTTCCTTTGTAGAGGGAATAGCACCCCTTTTTGTGTGTGTTCCAGACTTCACCTTCCTCTGACCTTGGAATTATCTGGTCTGTTTCCCTCTGTAGTCAGGTTCTGAAATATCAAACACAGATGTAGGCAAAGGAATAGGATGGCCAAATAGCCCACCCAGGGGTGCCATAATAAATGTAGAATTAATCTAAGTTTGCTTGGCACCATTGACTTTCATAGTCATTTGTATGAGAAATTAGAAGAAAACAGTAAAACAAATCAAGAATAACAAATTGGGGGAAAGACACTCTGCAGATACAAATAATACTAAGCATTATAAATTTCCTAGTGGCCAGGACTACTAGAAAGAAGAGATTGAGGAACACTACTAAAGAATGTTGTAGGGATTTTTTGTTTCCAAAAGGGACCAATGCACCTGTTGATATGTTTTCCAGGCCCTTAAATAATAACAATTTATGAGGTTATTAATACTAAGCCAAAGATTTATCAGATGTGCCGTTTGTCTTGTGGCCAATATAACCTCATAAAATTGAGGTTGCACTGGGTTAAAATGGAGCGTTCTGCTATTGGAGTTATTCAGAGCATTTAAATCGGTTAATCCTACGGGAATGGTCTATTTAGCCTGCCTATTAGGGAAAGTCTTTAGGGATTCCTACCAGTTGCAGAGCCAGGCTGGAGAGGCTGGTCCACTGCTAGGTGAGGTAAAATGGAGGCAGCAGGAGAGGAATGAGTCCTGGAGCCAAGATGATGTGTCTCTAATCCATCCATGCCAACCATAGCCAGCTGAGCTTGGCGCACAGAGAGCGCACATGTGTGCTGGGGTTCCAGGAAGGGCTGTTGCCAAGAAAAGAGCACAGTAGAAAGAAATGTGAGACAGGCATTGAGGGAGACACTGAGAGCAACATGTCAACAAATTAAGTTCATCAGGTCAGTGACATAATAAACGTTGTGAAGGAAAAAGAAAAAAAAAATAGAGAAGGGGAGAGAAAAAACAAGATCTAGTCAATAAATCCATTCAACAGATGTTTTCGCACGGACAGCCAGGGCCTGTCTGCCTGGCTGAGGAGGAGGTGATGGCAGGAGGCCTGTCAGTTTGAACTGATTGAAAGAAACAGACCTTTAACCTCGAGAGGAATATCGACTCAGACTCATTTCCTACCTTGATACCAACATTTTAAATATAGCCCCAGAATTGTTGCAACACAAGTGAGAGAATAATTCAACTGCTTTCAAACCGCCAATGAAGCTCAATTCTGAAAATTCTATCTAGATTTTAATTCAGTAATATTGTTAATGAAATTCATGGGATCCTAAAAATTAGCAATTAAAGGACAACATTTTGACATCTTTTAGTCTTCTCACAATGGTATAGGACAAAGAATTTCTCATAGGTTGTATGGCATAATCTCAATACCATAAAATTATTAGTTTCCTTTATAGAGTATTAAATATAACCTCAGCAATTTATCATTCTGCATACTTCTGAACTTACCATTTGCCACGTACTCAGGCTTTGAGCATTTGCTTTGATGAATAGATTAGGATGGTCTGGTCAAAATCTAGTTTTAGTCATAACAGTTTTAACACTTTTAGAAGATTCTAAGTCTCTTGTTTTCTTGATTGTCTCCATGTTTAATAGAGATATACCAGTAAGATTGACAGTCTCTCCTCTCCTGGATTTTACAATCAGAGGGAATGCAAATATATAATATGACTTTGGGAGTTTTCTTTCCGGATAAGCTTTTTGCATATGATCTAAAACGCATGGGTAACTATACACTGAGTGACTATAATATCCATCCCTGTCTTTTCCTTCTGTAATCTCCTATTTAACCTTCATCTAAACAATGCAAAAGGCCCCTAACTGATCACCCTACTACTAAAACCAACCCATCCTATTCTTTCCTCCAAGAATTCTCTTCCTAAAGCCCTCCTGTAAGAAAAAAAGTTGACATAAAAGTCTGAGAAGGTAAACCAAAGTTTGAAGAATCTCCTCAGAATGTCATCTGGTCTCTCCTTCACCTGAGACCAACCTGCAGTCTTCAGCCTTAGATCTATTCCTTTCCTAAGTTCTAGCCAAATTCCTATCTACTGCATAATGAATATCATTCCAGGGCTGAATTATGACTTTCACAGGCCTGGTCACTTTT